TACATATGTAAACGATCAAGTTTATCTTTAGGAATCCTCTCTTCTCACTGTTACCATCTCCCAATCTCTTGTAAACTCCTCTTTTACTCAGCTTACATACGCCCCATTTTTGATTATGCAGATACTGCTTGGGCTGGAGTTTCCACAACCCGTGCTGAAAAGCTCGAAATTCAGCACAAAAAGTTCTAAAAATCCTCCTCCGGAAACCCCGCATGCTCCCATCTTCCACCCTTTATGCCCTTGCTCACACTACCCCTTTGTCTAAGAGACGTAATTCACATCTTGTCACCCTTATCCATTCTCTCAAACTCAATCTGTGTCCACCTCACCTCCACTGTTTCAACTGGTTTTCTTCCCGTAGCACGAGAAACTCCCTTTCCCTTCCGAAACCCAAGTCCTCCTTTCTACTTCACTCTCCCCTTTTCACTGCGTACTCTGCGTGGCTGGCACTTCCCCAAGAAGCTAAGGACCTTTCTTCCCTCCGCCTTTTTAAGAGCCTTGTTGCGCCTTGACTTTGATTTTGCGTTTCTCATTTTGTTGCAATCACTACTTATCCATGCCGGTTCCTTTTTTCTTCTCCTCCCCTTCTCCCTTCCTTGCCGTGGTTGGCTAACACCCTCTCTCTTTGTATTGGCCGGTGTTCTCACTGTGCTATGAGATGCTGCAATAAATAAATAAATAAATAAATGCCGGCATAATATTTTATTGGCATAATTTGGTGGTTGAAAATTTGGAGCATAATTTGGCATCTTTTCGGAGGTAGGAGCATAACTACATGATTGTACCACAGTTCTAGTATGTAGGCTACACAATTGTGTACAATGCACCTGAGCAGTGGTGGTGATCTGCATGGTAAAGGGTTCGGAGATCATGCAAATATATGTACAGGTAGTGTTTTCAACTTTTCAACGATTAGAAGGGTAGAAAACATGGCAATACATTATTGTATGTTCGAACTCGTCTTCTCCAAAGTTCTTTCCCACACTGATACAGTAAATATAGCAGAAGATGCGAGTGAACCAGCCTTTATGAATATGAGGTATCCCGGGGTGGACGAGATATTGACGGTTAGTCCGCAGACTGACTCTGTGTACATGTATATTATTGCGCTATTCCAGCCATGGCAATGGCAGTAAGCAAAAACAATGCAAAAAGAAAAGGAAAAAAAATACAAATTACTGGAGGCAAAAACCTACACAGGGCGAGGCAAAGAGAAGAGAAACAAATCTGGATGAAGAATTAGCAGTTCTTAGAACACAGGCTTCATATTGACCTTGAAATCATTTAGAACACAAGACGATTTTACTGATAGAGGCAGGGCCAACCAGAGAGAATAGGCAGCGAAAAACGGAGATCTGGTATAAGCAGATGTTCGGGCTTTACATGTAGGTAGTCATGGGCGGGTAATGCTGGCATTATGGCTGGCATTATGGCTGGCAATATGGCTGGCATTATGGCTGGCATTATAGTCCCTTTTTCTAGGTGGCATAATGCTGGCATTATAACAGCATTTCGCACGCAAAATTGGCAATACAAGCATAATTGCCGGTCGACAACGGTGTCATGCATGAAGCTGGCTAGGTCCAGTTCCGAAAATCGTGCATCTGAGCCCGTCCGGCTTCGTCCGGAGACCTGACGTTGCAAATCAATCTTCTCAGTGGATTGTTAATAGAAGCTTCCTCACTGCTGTTTAAGTTTTTTCTTCTTCTACGCTTTGGCCTTGATCCAAGACTTTTCCAACTTTTAAACTGGCATTATGGAGTAGTGTGAGCATTATAAGTGGCATTATATCCTCATATTATGAGCATTGCCTTTGGCATTACCGCAGCTAATAACTAGCATTACCCGCCCATGCCTACATGTAGGCAAAGTGCAGGGATTGCGTGTAGGACGGGTGGGAAGAATCCAGTTATATTTAAGCAAGTGTGGCGAGATTATTCGCAGGGTGAGGTTGACATCGGTTGGACGAGTATGTCGATTAGGAAGACAGTTGAACATGCTAACTCAAACTAATTTGGCAATGAAAAATCTTTTTACAAAATAAGTCAACTAATGAATAGAAGAAGTACTACATGTACATAATATATTATGTACATGCTGCACTCAGCTGGTATTTTAACACCCACGTCCACTGTGAAGTTCTCCATACAACCATTCTCTGTGCAGTCCGTATTTGACACGCTATCCAGACTTCCCATTCAACGTAAAACCGCTGGACTGCTGAACAATCGCATCCTCCGTGAAACAGCTGAGGTCACGTCACAGTCTCTTTCCGCCCTTTTCAACCGCTGCTTGCTGTCCAGTACTCAGCCCAGGGAGTGGAAATCTGCCGTTGTTGTACCTGTGTTAAAGGGAAAAGGTAATCCTTCTCACCCAGTCAATTACCGTCCTATATCGCTGTTAAATGCAGTTGCCAAATTGTATGAGTCTATGATTAGCCGTCAGTTTTACTCGTTTGTTGAGAGCCATAAAATTATCAGTTCCAGCCAGTTTGGCTTTTGTCGAAAGAGGTCAACAGTTGACCAATTGGTACAGCTTACCTCAATTGTTTCGCGTGCATTTGACTCTAAGTCTTCTTGTGACCAGCTGTTCCTTGATTTTTCTAAGGCCTTTGACAGAGTTAGTCATCATTTAGTTATTCAATCTGTTTCAGGTTGGTGTTCTCTTTCTGCCTGTTCTTGGGTGAAGGACTTCATCAGTGATCGTAGTATTTGCGTTCGCATTGGCCAAACTCTTTCTGACCCTTTGCCCATCACCGCTGGCGTGCCCCAAGGTTCCCATCTCGGCCCGCTTCTTTTTAACCTGTGCATCAACTCCTTTCCTGATGCCCCTGCTTCTAGTACCCTATCCCTTTTTGCTGATGACTCTAATTTAATTCTTGTTTCTCCAGCAAACACCTCACTTCCTATCCATCATGCATTGCTCCAGACTGACATTGATAAGTGTTGTCAATGGTCATCAGCTACTGCCATGACGTTTAACACCAGTAAATGCGTCCACCTACCCTTTCAAAAATATGCATTAGCCCCCGGCCCGTCATCCCCCTTGACAATGAACGGTGTGCCTATTCAGAAAGGTGATAGCCACTGTCATCTCGGCGTGACTATCACTCCTTCACTAAATTTTTCTGACCATATAAAATCTATCACCCATAAGTTTCGCAGTCGTGTTTTTCTGTTGCGCCATATGGCCCATTTCCTTTCTGTTTCAACCGTGAATTTGCTCTACAAGTGTTACGTACGACCACTGTTAGAATACGCAGTCCCTGTCTGGTCATTCGCCGTATCCCATTCAGATTCGCTTACGTTAGACCGACTGCAAGCCGTTGCTGCTCGTTCATATCTGCTTTGTAAGACCCGGCACCCTCCTGAGTGGGAAACCCCGAAGCAGATTCTTAATCGTACTTGTGACTGGTCATCACTGAAGTGGCGTCGTCAGATTCTGTCCTTGCTGTATTTTCATCATGTCTTTTACCAGTTTCCGTCTTTGCTAATTCGTTTCAAATTCAATGTATCCCTTAGTTGTCGTCACCCGTCCTCTATAGTTTTACCTCGTTCTGGCGCCCATTTCCTTAAATCCCCTCTCTTCAGTTTATCTGTGGAATGGAACAAACTTCCAGAACACATCCGCTGCGTTCAGTCCTCTGTCAATTTTCGCATTGCTCTAAAGGCTCATTACTCACAGCATAGATATTCTCTGACTGGAATTCCGAACTTTTCCGTTTGAGAATTTTTTTTCCTTGAAATTAATCCTTGCTGGGTTTTTTTCATCTAAATGTCCCGCTATTATCTGCAGAGGTGATTTCTTCCCTCGTCGATTTCTTTCCTGCTTTTATACCTCGATATTTAGGTACTTGTTTCCCTTCTTCCCATGCTTCATCTTCCACTCTCCTCTCCCCCATTTCCCCATTTTTCTTGCGATATTTATGTGGGAGACTTCCGTGATAAGCATCCATTTGCTTTTGGAGAATCCTTTTAAATAAATACAAATGTACATGTACATAATATATTATGTGCATGTAAATGTTTTCTCTTTTCCATGTTGATCTCTAGCATGTGTGGACACCTTGTTATGGAGATACTCATGTATTTTGCCATACATGTACATGTACAATGTACAAGTACCTGTATGGCCACACTTGCAAGTACGAAGAACGCACAATTTTTCCGAACTTTGAGGCTCCATAAAGTACAACAAAGTGAATAATTATGATCCATATGCATCATAATAATTATTATGCACATGCATATCTGCAATACATTAATTTCTGTCATTTTGATATACATGTACATATACATATTGCATACTAAAATGTGAAGATCGGGTTTAGTGACAGATCGAATAGCGACATTTTGTTCTCTCCCGAAGGAGTGTCGTTATAATCCAATCTCCACCGTACACCGTACTACAAGTACAATCATGTACATTGTACACTAGCACTACTTACTGTCGTGGACCTGGAAATCCGGTCGCACTGAGGGCGCCGGCCCCGGTCAATCAACTGGATTTCCAATTTTCCGTGTCCAGCACAGACTCAGTACATGTACATGTACAGTGAAACTACTTACTAGTACTTACTTGCCTAAGACAAGTACACCCTGCTCAAGGGACCTTCAAAGTGCGGTCAGTGTTACCAGGTAGTCTCCTTATCCAGGGTCATTTTGACTGGAAATACTGTAATCATCCCTTGGTCCTGGCTGCAGTGGTCGTCTGGGACAGGTGGTCGCATTATCCCGGGGGAAGTTACTAGACATGTATCCGATCCGCCGAGTGATCATGGTGATCGCTTTGACAGGTTTTACTGTACAATCATGTCATGAAGTTTGAGTCGACAGATTAGTACTACATGTACATGACTGTACATGTACAATGGTCATGTTGTAGAACTAGATTAGAAGCGCCGTGATCGCAAGATTTCACTCGTGACTTCAGTTTTAGTACTACACTATCATCAATGATCATGCTACTACTTAGTACTACTATTATTCGGTTGTATTAATTGTATAACATTTTTGGTTTTGGGGACGATCGCAAGGCTCTACATTCTGGAATCCGGGATCTTCATTACTACAATAGTCATTAGCCAAATCCTTGTATGCTGAACACTTAGAACCGTGATAGCACGACGCGACGACGATAGCGCCCGTGCATCAGTGAGGAACAAACTGTGGTGCCCTTTCTCCCTTTGGCATCGCGGGTCGCCTTGTAGGGTTGCCTTGCGCGTTGGCCATTCCAGCACGTCGTGCGACGGAGTGTGTGATAAAGTATCAGCCAATCTACAACGCCGGTGTTTCGGTACTTCGATTCTGGCCGGCAGGTGGTAAGTAGTCATGATGTGCGAATTGTAAAATAATTGTAAATTATACCCATTCAACATGATTTAGCAGCGCGGAGGCCACTAATAGGCACTATCTAATATCGGTACGTTACGAATTACGTTCCGAGCCGGACACCAAACACTTGTAAACGGGGTTCAACCGTTGGGATCCACTATCGATGTCTGGCCCAATCGGAAGCCCAGTGCTTCAGAGTTTCCTTCCTCACACGGGACAAAGTTACATTGTCCTTCCACGAGTTTTCACGTGCAGTTGGCGTTGAAATGGCAGAATGGCTGAAATTATCGTTTGTCCACTGTTTCTTTCTGCTGCCACAGATGTATGTGCATGTGCCCGTATGTGTGTGTGTGGGGGGGGGGGGGGGGGCGTGTGTGAGTGTGCCTGTGTGTGCGTGTGTACGGGTGTGATTGAACTGAGGCGGGTGTTATCTGGTTATGGCTTGTGCTCACCGGTCCAGGGCTATGGTCATCATTGAAAAAAGGCTGAACCTGAGAGTGTTGTTGCATGGTTCAGTGTGCAGCATCTGCATCTCGATGTACGTACGCAGGGGTATCTGGTCACCCTTTTGGAGGGGGGGGGGGGGGGGGTGCACGGCCGCATATGTGTAGGATGGCTGGTGCATGTCATTCATGGTCATAACGTGCATGTTGAACCTGGGTGAAATTTTTAGGGAGGGGGGTGCACCTACCCCCCCCCCCCCCCCCCCGTGCCCTATGCGGGCCAAGCGCCTGGTACATGTATGGAGTACCAGGGCGTCGGAAGGTATTCGACACATTGGTGCGGCTATGAAGAGGCGGTGGTCCGGGGGTTCTCTCCCTTGGAAATTGCTTGGAAAATTGGGCCCAAATAGCCCATACGTTATTGCTTCATGGTTCTGCAGGCGAAATTATTGGTGCGTCTTTGGCCGAACCTGCCGCGCCGGTTCTGAGACCCCTGAGTACATCATGATAGAGTGGGTCTCTTGTCATTATTAAATATTAATCCACAGTGGCACTGAACCAGCACAGCGTTGTGAGCGGTGATCTGGTCTTTAGTGCATGTATCGTAGCCATGCATACTAATGTCGTGGATATTGAAATCCGGGGCCGGGGCCCATACTGCTTTTGGCGCGTACACGCACTGTAGTGAACGCACACGCTGCAATAATGGACTAGCAGTTCTTGCGGCCAGCGCCCCGCGAGCTTTTGACGTTCTCCGCGGATTTCAATGTCCACAACCGTCCTAGTCTGCAGTATGCATGTACATGTACATGTATACTGCAGTAACAGCGTAGCGCAATGCGGAGGGCACACCGTATGGAAGAAAACAGTGTGTGTGTGTGTGTGTGTGTGTGTGTGTGTGTGTGTGTGTGTGTGTGTGTGTTCCTGCGTGCTATGCTGTAACCATCATACCTGGTAAACTACAGCGTTGCCACTAAATGAAATCCAACGTCATGAATAAAATAGCGTTGCCGGGCATGCACTACGCAGCCCTAGCACTACACATACTGGTCTGTGAACTCTAACGTGGCGCCGCTTTCATTCAAGAGGTTGGATTTCGCTGCCCAGTACTGTATCATACGACGCTTACACACGCCACAGGATTCACCTACAGTGCTGCGCAATGAACTCACGTGTAATATGGTATGTTTCCTTGCACACATATCTCCATCTGATAACATGGCGTGTGGTGTGTTCAAATTATTTAGAAGTGGTCGTCAGATCACGTGAGTCGACTACCTGCCTGACAGATCATCAGACACGCTTTCTTTCTGTTATCTCTTTTGCAGAGTGAAGTAAGTGAGACGGAGTGCACTGGCAACTGAACCCGAACAATGGCCCGTGCACAGCCCGGAGGCGAGGACTCTCGCTTTGTCCGCCAACGCCCCGTCGTACTCGATTGCCGATTTCAGCGCTGCATCTCTGCTTCACGGCCATCACCGTGCTCCACTTCAATTCGTGACGTCTGCAGCCGGGGCTGCCACGCATAGAGGTTCAACGCCGGACTTCGCTAGCAGGGGAGGCACCGATGATGGGCTGCCGGGCATGCTGACCGATTCGGATTTGCCGCCTGCTGTTGAGAGCAAGTTAAGGGCTGTGTGAGGAGAATGTATCATTGCGCCAGGAGCTTGCCAGCCTCACAGCCAAACTGGCGCAGCTACAGAAGGCATGTATACACTGTGGAGCATGGGACTTGCTTTATCTACTCTGTCTGTGTGTCTGTCTGTGTGTCTGTGTGTCTGTCCGTCTGTCCGTCTGCCTTATATTTCTTTCTCTCTTTCACTCACTCTCTCTCTCTCCCCCTCCCTCCCCACCCCCCTCTCTCTCGCGCTCTCTCTCTCTCTCCCCCTCTCTTTCTCTCTTTCTCTCTCTCTCTCTCTCTCCCTCTCTCCCTCTCCCTCCTCTCCCTCCCCCCCCCCCTCTCTCTCTCTCTCTCTCTCTCTCTCTCTCTCTCTCTCTCTCTCTCTCTCTCTCTCTCCCTCTCTCCCCCTCTCTCTCTCTCTCTCTCTCTCTCTCTCTCTCTCCCTCTCTCTTTCTCTCTCTCTCTCTCTCTCTCTCTCTCTCTCTCTCTCTCTCTCTCTCTCTCTCACTTTCCCTCTCCCCCCCCTCTCTCTCTCTCTCTCTCTCTCTCTCTCTCTCTCTCTCTCTCTCTCTCCCTCTCCCTCCCCCCCCCCCCCCTCTCTCTCTCTCTCTCTCTCTCTCTCTCTCTCTCTCTCTCCTCTCTCTCTCTCTCTCTCTCTCTCTCTCTCTCTCTCTCGCTTTCTTCTCCTATGTTTCTTCCCACCCTTGCCGTTAATCTCTGTCTTCCTTCTGATGGCCAGTACTATGGTCAGTTTGACAGGGTAAAATGCTCTCTTTGTCATGGCTGCAGCTCCATAGAACAGAGGAGTGTACATGAATTGTCTACATCACTTCTGGTCAGCGTTTATACCATCTTAGTTCAGGGCATGGTGTCATGTGTGAGTGAGTTGACACGAGTGTGTGGATGTTGTATGGTTGAGGCCAGCAATGCTGTCTATATACACACACCCAGGCGTGGATTTAATTATGGTTATTTGGGGGGGGGGGGAGGCACAGGTGGGTGCTTATGTGTGTTATGGGTGTGTATAAAATTATGCGTGCATGTTTTGTTTTTGCACCTTTAGTTTGAGCGGGATCTCGATTCGATCCGCGAACAGCACGACATCTTGCAGCAGTCTACAGATAAGCAGGAGAGGCTGGAGCAGGCATTCCGCACCCGGCTGGAGGATCGCTGCCGTCGACTAGAACAGGTCAACAAACAGCTGAAAGGTATGTGAAGATCTGTGTCCATCCTAGGTAGAAGCTACCATTGATTCTTTGTTTGAAAGTGCTTCTTGAACTCTGTGTGGTCTAAAGGGGAGCGGAAACATCCTGGGAAGTTCACAACACATGAGACAATATAGCGTAACCCCAGTACACCGCACCCAATAGCGTTCTTAATTGGATTTCATTGATCAACACTGTAGTGGGTCTAAAGCAAAGAGCATGCCCTATTCACGTTCCTATTCTCTTAATGTGTACTTTCCCGTTCCTCTTCTTCGACCTTGTTGCCGTCGACAGCCAAGCTAGAAGATGAGCGGCGGCAGACTGACTCGGTTGTGCTGCACGCCCGGGATGAGATGATGGAGGAGCTGATGCGGCGTGACCGTATCATACACACCTTAACTGCACAGTGTGAGTTGTGAGCTGAATGATGCATTTGTTTCCTGTTCTTCAAGGGAGATTGAGAAAGAGAGACAGACAGAGCCAGCGAGAGAGAGAGAGAGAGAGAGAGAGAGAGAGAGAGAGAGAGAGAGAGAGAGAGAGAGAGAGAGAGAGAGAGAGAGAGAGAGAGAGAGAGAGAGAGAGAGAGAGTGAGAGAGAGATTTGGACTCAATTGCAATTCCGACTTACTTGTGTCTGTTCGTACAAGGCTATTCTCCAGAGATTCACCGAAAACCATTTTCAAATTTCATCTCCACCTTGCCGATAAGCTCGCCCTAAAAGTCTTTTCCTGTTTTTTTTTGCTTTCGTAACAATGCTCCAACAGGCACAACTGGCCAGGAGGAATGTGATCGGCTTCGACATGAGATTGTGGACCTTGGAGAGAAAGGGCAGGTGATACCGCAACTTGAGACACGAGTGTCTGAGAGTGATGCACGGCTAAAGCGTGTCAATGAGGAGGTCAGTCTTAAGTCTCAATGTCTGTGTGTGTGTGTGTGTGTGTGTATTTGTGTGTGTGTGTGCGTGTGTGTGTGTGTGTGTGTGTGTGCCCAGCTAGTTTGGTTGGTGGGTACACTTATGCTAGATACTGTTGGGTCTGGTGCCAACAGGCTCGGCTGCTTGAAGGTGTGTTGTTGTACCTACCACCTTTGTTGGTTTCAGGGTTCATATACTTTCTATTTGAAGTATACATACCTGTTGACCATGGACTGCTTCTGGCTAGATTAACTCTTGTGTAATCAATGGTGCTAGTGAAGCTTATATCAGATCCACTCTGATTTAGCCACCCACACTAGTACCAAGTATTACCTTCACTGGGGGCAGGGGTAACTGCAGTTGGATCCCGGGACGGATACCCTGATGCCGTCAATCCTTTTTCTGCACCTTGTCCTCACCCACTTACTGAGGTGTGGTCAGCCCATAAGTGGGATCATTTCAAATCCACCCTAGTTTGGGCATTTCAGGGGGTGTCAGCCGTTGGGCGGTTCAATAGCCAATTGTGTCATCTTTCCAAGATTCCTTTTGAGTCTCTCTCCCCTCTCCCGGGGAGACCAATGTGACCAGCTTTGGCAGTGAGCAAGTACAAGTGTGTGTGTGTGTGTGTGTGTGTGTATGTGGTGCTGGGGCTGAAGATGGCAACCACATGTTGTGTATAAACGTATAAATGCCTATAGTATGTGAACGCCATTTTCTTCGACATAATTGATAAAAAGTGTGTCCAACAATTGTCGGCTCACCGCTTACTCAAATATAAATAAATGTTTCCGATAATTCTATAGGGCTTGCTTATAAGGTAGTTAAATCATGATCTCTCCTTGGTTCTCGGTGTTTTCGTTTCCTCTAGTTCACAAGGCAGGTGTCACAGGCAATTCCCATCCGAGAGTTTGAAGCTGCCCTGCGGGAGCTGAGAGAGGTTTCCACCAGGCAAGATGCACTGGATATTCAGCAGCGCGAGCGGCTGGAGAGTGATGTCAACTTGCTACGACTTCAGGTAGGTATTACAAGTGTTCTCGTTGCCGTACTCTCAGATCTCATCTCTCTATCTATCTCTCTCTTTCTATCTCTCTCTTTCTATCTCTATCTATCTATCTCTCTCTATCTCTATCTATCTATCTATCTATCTCCCTCTATCTCCCTCTATCTCTCTCTCTATCTATCTACTGTAAATATACAAATTTTCGGCAGCTATTTAATTTCGGCTATATTCGGCACCGACCCAAAACGCCTAAATTAAAACGCCGATGAAATTTTTCACAGCATCTGTCGCACTATACCATGCTCTCTACCCCACGCCGAAAATAGATCGCCGCCGAAATGTCAAAAATCGTGAAGTGCCGAAATTTTGCAGCGCCGAAATTTTGTATATTTACAGTATCTCTCTCTCTCTCTCTCTCTCTCTCTCTATCTATCTATCTATCTCTCTCGCTCACTCTCACTGTCTATCCCTCCATCCTTCTCTTCCCCCCCCCCCCCCCCCCAATTCTCCTCTCTTTATATATTTAGCTTGCTGGATAATGCCAGCCCCCCCCCCCCCCCTCGGCACATGGCCATCATCAGGTAACTTAACAATGATACTGTTCCAGCTACAAAGGAGCAGTTATATCAGGGGGCGTCGCACACGGTACGGTCACTACGGTATTGACCGTACCACTATTTGCCCCAAGTACCTTGTGAATCAATAAAATGAACTGATTTTGGCTCTAAATTTCCAATTTTTTCGGCTCGGCAGCCCCTCCCCCACGAGTAAATTGTACTTCAGATGGCTGACCGTACACACTAAATTACCTTCCGACGCCCCTGTATATACAGGGCATTCCGCTGAAAGGGTGTAAGTCCTCTCGCTCCGAAGAAGGGAAGAAGTGTCAATGGGAGCCCACACCACAGCACAGATGAGAAGACCAAGTTTCCGCTGTACAGCCAGGATGAAGCACATACATACTGAGGCGAGATTGTGAGAAAGTCCCCCCCCCCTCCCTTCCCTCCTTTGTGTACTTATTGTTGCCTGTGTCCATCTAGGTTGACCTGTTTATGTGTGTTCGTTCTGTCTACGTTACTGCTAACGAGAATTACTCCTGTGTTACTGTTATGTAGCTGGAACGCTGCAAGCAGCCCTACTCCCCTGACGGTATGCCATCTGAACCTCCGGGTAATGTAACTCCACAGCAGATCTGCGACTTTGAGGCACTTCTCTGTCGGCGTGAGTGTCACATTCAGCAACTCCAAGAGGATGTGGTGAAGGTAAGTGTGAATGTGAATGTTTTCTTAACAGTGCTGTGTTTAAAATACCTTGCGAGGCCCAGCGTTCATAGTGATAGATCTTTTGTGTGTGGGTGTGCCTGTGTGGTTGTGTGTGTCCCATATGGTGCAGTGGTATGTGCAGTTGATTTCCAATCGAGAGGTTGCGGGTTCAATTCCCGGCGATTATGGTCGCACACGTCTTTCTTCTCTTTCCTATTCTCCTAGCTCTTCTATCATTCTCCTGGGTGCGTGTTTTTGAATGCAAGCCTGATTTTCAAGATACATATCATCACAGTAGCCTGGTTTCAGTGTTGACATGCTCTAGTGTCGTGTATAAAAGCATCACCCATATTGAAGCATGACCCATATTGAAGCATCACCCATATTGAAGCATGACCCATATTGAAGCATGACCCATATTGAAGCATGACCCATATTGAAGCATGACCCATATTGAAGCATGACCCATATTGAAGCATGACCCATATTGAAGCATGACCCATATTGAAGCATGACCCATATTGAAGCATGACCCATATTGAAGCATGACCCATATTGAAGCATGACCCATATTGAAGCATGACCCATATTGAAGCATGACCCATATTGAAGCATCACCCATATTGAAGCATCACCCATATTGAAGCATGACTCGAATAGAAGCCGATTTTTCGAAGCGCGCCGTGATGCAGAAGCACAATTTGAATATAAGCATGCATGTATCATGTACTTGCACACTGCACACGTGACAATGTGTGCACTGCACAATGCAAACTCAAGATGTTGACGTAGAAGCATGTTTCGAATAGCATAACGAATAGAAGCATGGTTTGAACCCCTTCTTATACGGCCGTAAGCGCCTGCTTTTATACGCGACATTACTGTACATAGAAATACCAGTTCTGAAAATAATGCTGATGCAAATAGAAGCCAAGCACTAACATCGGCTTCTGCGGGAATAACTTGTGATGTGTAATACACAACCGATTATGTTGTGTTTTGCTTTGTGATGCAGTGGCGGCAGCTGTACTCGGATGAGTTGAACTTGGTTGCTTCCACGGACACCAACGGGTAAGATCATACTGTATGTAACATTGGGTGACGACAAGAGTCCATAACCCCAAGAGTGTGCAACTGGGGTCTGGCTGCTGTAGGCCCACTGCGCGGCGGAATTCCAACATTACGTCATGCCGCTGAAGCACAGCCGAACAAAACTCCGCATTCCGCAGTGCTTGGAACCAGGGAGTAGTACAAGCGCAACGAACGTGTACCTCTTTTTTGTGTGACGTTATGTTGGAATTCCGCCGCGTGGATCCCCATGTACAGAGCTGCATACACTTGGGGTTATGGCCTCTTGGTGACGATAGTGGTGCTCTCGCTTCCTCTTAACTCCAGTCTCTTGCTCCTTATTCGTTCGATCCACAGCACTTGGGTGCACGAAATGTGTTCGGTCAATACAGGGATTCCACTTGATACGTGGGTCTGGCAAACACAGCTCTACTGTGCCTTTGTTTGCTTTGTGCTCGCTCAGCTTGCGCAGTTATCCGACACGGTCTCAGTCACTGGCCGACGTCACATCCGACGAGCGCAACTCGTCCGATCAGCATCGTCAGCAGCAACAACAGCAGCAGCAGGAACAACAACGACGCCGCGTTGAGATCGTGAGCGCTGACCTGTTCTCCGCCAATCGGCGCGTGGTGGAGCTGGAGACGGTCGTCAAGCAGCTGCGCTTCCTCATGACCGACCTCAGCAAGGAGTTGACGAACGTGCGGCGCCTACGCGATGAAGATGAGCGGCAGGTCGGGAGAGACATCGCCACCGCCGCCACCACCGCTGCGGGAGACCGTGAAAACCGCAACGGAGGTCATGACGGTGGCGGTGATGATGAAAGAGCCGCTTCTCCCGACTCCTCAAGCTCGTTCCCGCTATCGCCAATCTCCAAGAATGGCACGTCGTTTGGTAGCGTTGAACATCTGTAAGCTCGAACGTTTTCCGGTCTTTTGATGCCGGAGAATGTGCTCAGTGCTCTGACTTTGAACAGTCGCTTGTAACGTTACTTGTACGTTAATAGTTGGGCAACAGAGCATATTGCCGGTTTCGTCGCTGTGTTTCTGATGTCATGGCACATGCTGCTGTCACCTAGAACTATATCAACTATTATAGTGCGCACTGTACAGGAGGTATTTTTGCATATTTATCATTTCAGTTGCACGCCAGCGTCTTGAACGGTGCCATCGTGGAGTCGGGACCGTGCAAGTCCTGGGCCACATCACCTACTAGTCTGCCCTGGTGTGTGTATAGGTTGAATTTCACCTATTGTCTATAGGACAACTGTCTCAGTCACACCTATTGTCTATAGCCTAGGTCAACCAGGATACTGTTGAGTCAAAATGTACAATGACAAGGATTGAAATTTTAAACGCCATTTTTCAACCAAACGTCATGCAAGCTGTGCATGTAAACTTAACATACACACAGGCACACACATGCACACGAGTTCACACGAGTTTACAGCACAGCATGGGGCTTCTAACGTAAGCGAGTGCATGGTAGATAGTGCCGACAAGACGCAATCAGAGGGTGGAAAGTACAGCGTAACCAGTGTTGCTCCTATACCGGTATACGCTCACAATAACCCTTACCAGGACATACACACATGCATCCCCCCCCCCCCCCCCCCCCCCGGTCGAGAACTGCCGTTCACGAATATGTTGGTGCCCCCCCCCCCCCCACACACACACGCACCACAACCACACACTGTAGCAAGGTCTCAGGGTTGTTCTGAACAATATTGTAAAACATCGGCCAGGCAGTGAAGACACTGACCTCGTTTGGTAAGGTGGACAGTATTTGAAAATAGCTTACACGAGCTGGAGCTGTTTGCAATAATATTATAGAAATGATTGTGATGGTGATAGAGGTTGTGATTGATTGGCGATGAAGATGATGGTCATACCGCCATGACATCACCAATGATGTCATCATGATACCATGCATAACAATGATAATGACGCAGAATGGAGTGGCTGAGTGTACTGGGGGGAAATCGCAAATCATTGTACTCGTACTTGTGCCTGTACTGGTTGGAATCGATAGATCAAATCGGTGGGGAATGAGAAATTGAACAACAGGCTACCATATTGAAGCAGCACACACGTAGGAAAGTCACCGAAGAGCCAGCAATCGGCAGCGTCTAATATAAATTCGTATTCAAGGTGGGACGAGCACTCGTGACGGCAATCGAACAACTGAGCAATGACCGCCTCGCATCACAGTTCATCACCGGACACTTTGACATGGCCATTAGAATATCGTGCATGCTCAACCACTGTGAAGTGTTCACTCTTTTCACACAAATTGACTGCAGAGGTCTGTTAGTAGCAAGACAATCAAAAATAAATGATTGAGGATACGAGAGGATCAGAAAGTGCGGAGAAATTCTGCTATTATATCAAGATACTGGTTTTCGGGGTTTACTATCTGCTGGATCATGACTTGTATCGAGTGGTGCGCACTCTATGTACGTGCACATATGCTCATGCGTGTAAGCATGTAAGCATGCACAACACACACACACACACACCATGTACCCACACACACGCACACGCGCGCGCACACACACACACACACACACACACACACACATTCACAAACAGATACACATACACACGCACTGGGGCAGCGCATGTTGCCTCCTCCGCTATCGAGCTCCCCATACAGGAGTCCTGCCATACATCTCAATCTCCTCAGGGGGATTCGCAGAAGCGGAAGGTGCCGGGGATTTCTGCGACGGACTTCGTCTAGGTAGCTTCGGCGAGGAACCTGCACTGGTTGAAGCTGTAGCGATGGATGGATGACTATCAGTGACGGATGGTGGCCGAGAGCCTGGGTTTGACAGAGATACGACTTCGTACGCTGGGAGAGGAGCTCCACGAGCAGCGCTGTCGCTGGTCAAGCTCGCAGCGGATGCACTGCTAAGTCCAGCGGAAGGCGCTTCTCTCGTTGGCGTTGAGCCTGTTCCCGTGCGCCCTGCAGCAGAGCCGGTGGTACCAAACACAAGGTGGCACTGCGAGATCATCAGAGCAACCACTTGGCTGAGTGAGGAGGTCAGCGACGTCGAGAAGTTGTCCAGCGGAGGCTGTGTGAAGTTGGGTGCAAACACAATGCTCAGGTTGCGTGACGTCATCTTGTTCTCCTGGGAGTTCAGCGAAACACTGCAGGTACAGAACAACAGCAGTAGCAGTGACAGTAGCCGCATCAGCACCAGCAGTAGCAGCAGCAGCGCCAGCAGCACCAGCAGCACAAGCAACGGTAGCAAAATGATAAACATCACCAGGTGGACACAATACGGCAGGGTCAAGCAGCCTCGAGCGACACCAGTCGGAAAGAACTTTAGTATGCAGTCACCTGAAGTACGATCTACTCGAGGGGTCAGGTAGCTCATCTTACATTTTTCGAAATTCACACCACAAATCCGTTCCTTATAGAGTGGTTTAGTCAATACTACATCTTAGTTGATCCAGAGGCGTACACGGGGTTCTTCAGAGGGGGGTTACATCGGCATGCATGTAACCGTGCGGTGCATAGATACAAGCAACACCAGTTTCATGCTTCTCTCTTTCCGTGACAAGGACTGTGACTGCCACTTCTGTTCATCCGCTTGAAGTATGTCCCCGTTACTGATCCAGAAGGTCCTAAGCAATAGAAACACAGTTTTATGCATGCAGAAATATTCTGTGCATGAACGGATTCGATGATAACATGTACAACTATGAAGCATGAGGTACTCGTTGCCTTACCGGTACAGGTGCTGAACCATGAACGTGAGAACGGCCAGTTCCTTGGCAGGCATTGCTGACAGCAGGATGCTGCGGACGGCTGCGGCCTGCACTTCAGCATCTTCAGTCGTATCTGCACACAGCCAGGGAAAGTCAGCACGGGAGAAGCAGCGGTTGCGTAAGGCAGGGAATCAAAAGCCAGGCAACGAAAACCTGGCAGTAAAAGCCGGGTAGTGAAAACTAGGTACCGGTATTGTAATCCAGGCAAGAAAAGTCAGGTGGTGAACGCCAGGCTTTGCAATCCAGGGAAAGAAAGCCAGGTAATGAATAAATTGTAACATGGAAATTGTGGGCACAAGTTATAGGATCGATCGATGCGACGACCGATTTCCATGTTGCAATTTTTTTCCTTGGCTCACCGTCGGAGTTCAAGTAATGAAAGCAAGTTCTGTTTTCTCAAAGGTCACTTCAATGTCAAATATGAGCTGGAGCAGGGGAAAAAAGCACAACATGAGTGGTGGTGAGGTGTAGGGAGCTCCGTCGACCTAGCGTCTTAACTCCATGGCCACACAGATGCAAGGTGGCGAAAGCAAGCTATGCAAGGAAAGGGTGGAACACAAGCAGGCGCTGCGAGTGAGCCGGCGTGTAGGTAAGTGCATGCGTGCGTGGGTCACTGAGTGAATGAGTTTGCTCATCAGTGCGTGTATGCATGCATGAGTGAGCGGCCGAGAGCACCATGGAATTGAGCGGGATCGGGATTGGTCCGGCAAAAATGTCCAACACACTGCCCAGCAATCACAGGGCGCATGGCATGAGAGCCAGAGCCATGCGTACCGCTACGGAGTAGACTCCCGATGGGGGCAACCGCCTTTCTCCCTGTTTTCTGTTTTTCGTGTATCCAGGGAATTTTGCTGAAATGAAGGGAATTAGCACGTCTTGGCAAGGGATTGTGTTTTGGGGGGTTGGTGGGTATGCAAATCTCCCTCGCCGCCACACACAATTTTTTTTAATTTTTTTTATTAATTTTAACACAACAAGAATCCACATGGTCAATTAGATGCAGCACAGCATGCAAACAAGAGGTGGCATATCGTGTGACATTTAGTGGGGGCTTATCACATGTCCAGGCATCTGACTGCCTGAGCGCACGCACTTACCTATGGCAGCAGCCAGGTCAGCGTAGAGCGAGGTCGGTATCAGAGGTTCGGGAAGCATGTGAAAGAACGACTTTAGTGCACTGGTTACCACGGTGATGCACGATGCCTCGTTACACACTGCCACTCCCGGTGCTGTTAGAAACAGAAGACAACTCGAGCGTAAATGAAGTGCTCTTGAAACTATACTTGATCAAAACAGTTTGGTTTAGACCTCTAGGACGATAGCCCACTAATTCTACGTAGCCCAAAACCTCCTTGTCTCCCCCCCCCCCCCCCCCCCATATAGAGGTTACAGGATTACATCATCATCTAGCATGCGTCTTCTATGAAGTAGCGACACCATGGCATCACAAGTACTGTTCCAGCACTCAATGCTAAGCATACCGCTTTCCCGGCTGGATACACTCTGCTCCAGCAGTTTTCCACGTGCATGCATGCATTTAGATGACACCGAATACGCACGTACACACAAGCAAGCAACTGTACAGCCATATCTACTTACCGTACGCGTACTGCTCACGCAGATGATCGACCTCCAACTTGTTTCCGGAGACCCTGTAAAGTCCTTCAAAGGTTATACCTGCAGACGGAGGAGAGGAGAAAGAGAGACGGAGAAACTATGAGATCCTCAGCACAGGGCTATGACACCCTAACCAGACAACGCACCAAACTAGTTTTCAATACACTTCAGCAAAACCACATAAATACGCACCAACATGTCTCACGCCAGGACAAAAAGCTTGCGGTAGATTTTTCTAGTGACCAGACGAGACCAGACGACGCTTGCAGCTACTGAAGATGGCATCAACAAATTTAAAAAAAAGCTTGCCTCTCCACACAATGCCACACCGACACCAAGCAAGGGCCAGCTAGAAAACCCAGCACACACACCAGTACTCAGTAGACAGCCAAACAGCACAGCAGGAGCAAGACTTGGTCCCGAGGACGAGTGACACAGTTTCGACACACTCCTGCCTTCTTTACTCCAAAAACCCAGGCCTGTGGATAAAGTGTGCACTCTGCAGCCCGGTCACCAAGCATACTAATTGAAACTCACCATTTGCTTCGATGAACTCCACACAAACCTCCACAAACATGGGAACGAGGGCTTCCTCACTCCGGGTTGGAGATTCCTGTAGAGAGGTCTTGAAGATCCGGACATAACGGGCGTTAGCCTCTTGCCGCAGTCGCTCCACCTCTTCTTTCTTCCACTTCTTGGTCTTGCGCTTCTTTTCCTCGCGGCGTATCTCTCGCTCTGCCCGCCGCTTCTCCTTCTCTTCTTTGGAGAGTTTCTGCACAGAGCAAAGAAAACGAAAAAGAAACACTAAGTATTCACTAGCTGAGGGGACGGAAAAGGAAAATTGACTGTCACCACCAGGACTCGCGCAAAGGACCTTCGCTTGAGGCCAGCAATGCTCTAAATACTGAGCTATCGTGTAGCTGTCATTCCAGCAGAGACCGTTCAACATTTTCTTCTGACTTGGAAACTCACAGCAAAAAAATCTTTAGAGATTTTTGATGATAGAGAGTATAATTGATTAACAGCATCCACCAGCAGGTCCACACTTTCAAAGATGTTGTATCAAAAGCCCAACCCAAAACATAAGAGGTTCAGTTGAAGTGGCAGGGTATGGTTATGCCAGTACAGGACACCCAGCATGCCCAATGCCCGGTAAGCAAGCGTGCAATATCCGAAACAACACGCTGTAAACAATCACTCGCAGTATTCCAGCAGTCCATGCCACACTGAATGCAGACTGTCCATGCCACACTGAATGCAAACTGTCCATGCCACACTGAATGCAGACTGTCCATGCCACACTGAATGCAGACTGTCCATGCCACACTGAATGCAAACTGTCCATTTCACATTAACAAGCGCAGTCCTTTCAGGAGACTAGGCTTAACTCGTGTTCTCATGACTGACGGCCGGCATGCACAGGCAGCTATGCGTCACATCTACATCTACATCTACCTCTACCTCTACATCTACCTCATTGTATAATCTGACGTGGTAAGGGTATGGCCTGAGCGAAGGCTATGGTTTGGCAGACCTGATGGGAACGCGGGTGGGCAAATCGTATAATTTTTTCTCTCTATTAAATCGTATTGTCGATTCCTTTGAGATGCAACTGTATACAGAACACTATGATGACGCTAGCACACTCACCTGTCTCTGCAGTGCCTTCCTCTGTGTGCGGGTGCAGGCAACAGGAACATGAAAAGCAGCAAGAAGAAGAAGACATGCATTAGCGGACGAAAGACAACAGTGTAGTTCGCATTGAATCACAATTCACAATAACCTCACACTCCTGAATCACTCAGCCCTCACTCAGCCCTCACTCAGCCATCACTCAGCCATCACTCAGCCATCACTCAGCAATCACTCAGCCCTCACTCAGCCCTCACTCAGCCATCACTCAGCCATCACTCAGCCATCACTCAGCCATCACACAGCCATCACTCAGCCATCACTCAGCCATCACTCAGCCATCACTCAGCCACCACTCAGCCATCACTCAGCCATCACTCAGCCATCACTCAGCCATCACTCAGCCATCACTCAGCCATCACTCAGCCATCACACAGCCATCACTCAGCCATCACTCAGCCATCACTCAGCCATCACTCAGCCACCACTCAGCCATCACTCAGCCATCACTCAGCCATCACTCAGCCATCACTCAGCCATCACTCAGCCATCACTCAGCCATCACTCAGCCATCACTCAGCCATCACTCAGCCATCACTCAGCCATCACTCAGCCACCACTCAGCCATCACTCAGCCATCACTCAGCCATCACACAGCCATCACTCAGCCATCACTCAGCCACCACTCAGCCATCACTCAGCCACCACTCAGCCATCACTCAGCCATCACTCAGCCATCACTCAGCCACCACTCAGCCATCACTCAGCCATCACTCAGCCACCACTCAGCCATCACACAGCCATCACACAGCCATCACTCAGCCATCACACAGCCATCACTCAGCCATCACTCAGCCACCACTCAGCCATCACTCAGCCATCACTCAGCCATCACTCAGCCACCACTCAGCCATCACTCAGCCATCACTCAGCCATCACTCAGCCATCACTCAGCCATCACTCAGCCATCACTCAGCCATCACTCAGCCATCACTCAGCCACCACTCAGCCATCACACAGCCATCACACAGCCATCACTCAGCCATCACTCAGCCATCACACAGCCATCACTCAGCCATCACTCAGCCATCACTCAGCCATCACTCAGCCATCACTCAGCCACCACTCAGCCACCACTCAGCCATCACTCAGCCATCACTCAGCCATCACTCAGCCATCACTCAGCCATCACTCAGCCATCACTCAGCCATCACTCAGCCATCACTCAGCCATCACTCAGCCATCACTCAGCCACCACTCAGCCATCACTCAGCCATCACTCAGCCATCACTCAGCCATCACTCAGCCATCACTCAGCCATCACTCAGCCATCACTCAGCCACCACTCAGCCATCACACAGCCATCACACAGCCATCACTCAGCCATCACTCAGCCATCACACAGCCATCACTCAGCCATCACTCAGCCACCACTCAGCCATCACTCAGCCATCACTCAGCCATCACTCAGCCACCACTCAGCCATCACTCAGCCATCACTCAGCCATCACTCAGCCATCACTCAGCCATCACTCAGCCATCACTCAGCCATCACTCAGCCATCACTCAGCCACCACTCAGCCATCACACAGCCATCACACAGCCATCACTCAGCCATCACTCAGCCATCACACAGCCATCACTCAGCCATCACTCAGCCATCACTCAGCCATCACTCAGCCATCACTCAGCCACCACTCAGCCACCACTCAGCCATCACTCAGCCATCACTCAGCCATCACTCAGCCATCACTCAGCCATCACTCAGCCATCACTCAGCCATCACTCAGCCATCACTCAGCCATCACTCAGCCATCACTCAGCCACCACTCAGCCATCACTCAGCCATCACTCAGCCATCACTCAGCCACCACTCAGCCATCACTCAGCCATCACTCAGCCATCACTCAGCCATCACTCAGCCATCACTCAGCCATCACTCAGCCATCACTCAGCCATCACTCAGCCATCACTCAGCCACCACTCAGCCATCACACAGCCATCACACAGCCATCACTCAGCCATCACTCAGCCATCACACAGCCATCACTCAGCCATCACTCAGCCATCACTCAGCCATCACTCAGCCATCACTCAGCCACCACTCAGCCACCACTCAGCCATCACTCAGCCATCACTCAGCCATCACTCAGCCATCACTCAGCCATCACTCAGCCATCACTCAGCCATCACTCAGCCATCACTCAGCCATCACTCAGCCATCACTCAGCCATCACTCAGCCACCACTCAGCCATCACTCAGCCATCACTCAGCCATCACTCAGCCATCACTCAGCCATCGCACTAAAACACTTCAATGAATATCATGCCATGCACACGCTGCGGTGCAACGTCAGAAGTCCACAAATGACAACTTCTGGATCCACTTTGCCCAGCGCGAAGTGCAGTATGTGGTGGTTGGACCTGGGCGGGCCACTCACGTTGCATGCAGGTGTGAATTTTTCTGTATCAGGGGTGGATCACCACACCACAAACACACCCACTGGCGTCTCATCAAGGTAGGCCATTTCATTGCCGGCATGGTAGGGGACAAACATGCAGCATAAAGCAGGTGGAAAGCATCGTAGGGTATACACACTCACTCACCATAAGAGTGGAAACCTTTCCTTCACCACCGCCGCCTCCGCCACCAGCACTGCTAGTACTCTTTGTGGAGATCTCCAAACTGCTGCTGTTGAGATTCTCCTCATCCTCTTCCGACTCGGAGAATGAGTATAGGCGAGGGGGTACTGGAGGTGGTGGCTCGTCCTCAGAGTCACTTCCGTCCACCATCGGCTGATTGTTCATCTTCACTAGTTGTATCTGCAAACAAGGGGAGGGGAAAATTCAGGACAATTTAGAGTGAGAAAGGAAAGGGGAGTGAGGGTGGGAGCGAGGCAGCGGCCAAACAACACTGGTATGCAAGTGGAATGACTAATGGGCGCAACTTGCATACACACAACTACACTCCGTTCTGACTGAAAATGTGTGCAGCTCGCGTTAAGGGTGTGAGCTGAACATCTTTAAAAAAAACAGAACTCTTACCTTGTTCAAGGAGTTCTTGCGCCGCCGCCGAATCTCTTCTTCGAGGGAGTGTTTGACCTCGTACCCATCGTACCCTAGCGGAATGTCCGGCAATGGAGGAGCTGGAGGTGGTGAGTTAGGTCCCACCTGACTTGCCGATAATGCATAGAGGCGCTCCACCTGCAACACAATTGGGGTGGAGATTGCATGCAGGCCAGCCGGGGATGAAAACAAAGTGTGAGGGGGGGGGGGGGTAAAACAAGTGTGAGGTTGGGGGGGTTGAATCAAGTGTGAGGTGGGGGGGGGGGGGGGGTTAAAACAAGTGTGAGGTGGGGGGGGGGGGGGGGGGGTTAAAACAAGTGTGAGGGGGTGGGTTCAGACAACTGTGTTTCTAACTCTAGTCAAGTCGTACAACGCAACTCCGAACCCCGAATGAAGTCAAGTAATCTGAAATCAAACAGTCTCTGGTCCTGTGCGTTAAACATCACCTTCCTAACAACGTTGGCTACGTGTACCGGGTGGCCAACAACACCTCACAGGATGAGAGTACTCTTTTAATTATATTACATGCAAGTCCTGCTCCGGGTTTTCAATGATATCCATGATTTCGATGTAGACAAGCTTCTAATGAAACTGTTACATGACTATCACGCCCCCCCCCCCCCTCCCCTCCCCTCCACACACACACACACACACACACACACACACACACACACACACACACACACACACACACACACACACACACACACTCACAGGTGCAGAAACCGTGTACACACACCATGTACCATGAATATAGCCGTCGCAAGAGAAGAACACACATCTACAAATGCACTGGATGTGCACCCACAGATTTTCTCTTTGTAGCAACGATAGCGGATCTGTCTCTGAATGAAACAGATCAAAACAAGCGCCAGATAACTGTCTAATCTACACAACTGGCAAAACACACACACACACACACGTGTGCGCACACGTACACACACACACACACACACACACATGCACACACACACACACACACACACACACACACACACACACACACACACACACACATGCACATGCACATTCACACTCTCAGAACAATACCTCGTGCGCAATGCTCAAGTCACCACTCTCTGCCCCTGACTGTGTCGCCGCCTCTCTTAGGCCGGTAGCATTGCGCTGCAGCTGAGAGCGCGACACCGTCGGCAGATCGTCCTCCTCGCTGCTTAGTACCGAGTCAGATCCACCGGACGACGCCACAGATCCTTGACCCGATGACCGGCGTTCAGCAATCGGATGCCGTTGATGCGCACTCGTGCTGGTTGCCATGGCAGCCGTAGCGCTACTGCTTCCACTCGTGGTGATTCCGCTGATCTGCTCCCTGACCGGTGAGAGTGCCACGCGTTTGTCGGCGTCGTTAGCGGACGACGAGCGAGCTAGGGCGTCCTGCGTGGAGGCTCCAACAGCGCTTGCCCCCGCCGCTGCGGCCGACGTGGAATTCCCCGTGCTTGTCGGCACCACCATAGTGTACATGGACTGGTTGCTGGAGTCCCTGGCTGCTGCTAGTCGAGCCTCCGTGCTGGGCTTGGCGGCGGGCACTGGCTTCGGGGGGCGCTGCCTTGCCTTCACCAGGGGCGAGGAAGTGCTGGACTCTCGAGACGCCACCACTGCGCTCGGTATGTCCTTAGAGATGGAGGCGAACGTGTCTCGCAGGCTAGCCATGTCCTTGGGTGGGATAAGCGGCTTATCCGAGCTCAACCGTGGGCTAGAATCGTGACGCGGCAAAACAGGGGGCTTGGATGCGGCGGGGGACGGTGACTTTCTGAGCGAGAGCGACGCCCAAGGTTTGGATCGAGTGTTCGGAGAGGGCTTGGTTAGGGGTGGGGGCTTCGACGTGGGCGGTTTGATTGCTGCGGCACCCACTCCCGTCCTGAAATGCTGCGGAAGAGTGGACGACTTTCCGGACTCGTTTGGCTTGGGTTTCAAGACGTCATGTGGAAAGGCGTAGTCGTCGACCACTCTCGCGGTGGGCTTCTTGGGTCGGTTACGATCGCCACGTACCGAGGCTGCCGGACTCTTCTTGGGCATCACATCAGCGGGCATAGCGTACTCCTCGCCTGGCATCGACGATGACGATAATTTCGGTGTCAGTGATGAGAACATTGATGATTCAGAGTTGGAGACGAGAGGCGATGACGGCGGCCTGGAGGTTTTCATAACGTCCGCCGGTAGCATGTACTCCTCTTGCGCACTGCCCGACTGCAGTCCCGCCGCTGACGATGATGTTCCTTCGGCGGATTCCGACGCTGGTCTCGTTCCGGGCCCGATGTCCCACGGGTCAGCATAGTCATCCAGGTCAGAGCTGGGCCGCACAAACCCTGCTGCTGTGCTGGCGGCCGCCGGTGCTGTACTCGTCGAACCGACCGAGGAGCGCGTCGACGCCAGCGACGTCCGCGCATCGGCCGGCGTAGCGTACTCTTCCAGGTCGGGCGTGGGCAGTCCACCGCTGGTTACCGAGGAGACGTTGGACGCCTGGCCGTGTGAGCGGATAGACCCGCCGAGCGGCAGGCTGCTCGACGAACTGATCTTCGGTCGGCGGCCCGGCTGTCGTCGTTTGGATATGAGCGAGTCAGCCGGATCGGCGTAGAACGCCTCCGGATTGCTGGACTCCAGGTGGTCGTGGCCCGCTGCCAGTAGCGATGAATCGTCGTTGCCTGAATCGGACGTGTGCGAGGTGGTGGACGGTGATTGCGAGGTGCGACGACGCGCTCTGGGCAGCGTACCCAGGCCGCGTGCCAGGACGGATGCCAAGCCCGAAGAGCGTGACGCCGGCACAGCGGTAGTGGTGTGAGAGTGTGTCTCGCCGATCGCCTCCACACTGCTGCCCTGGGAGAGCGCGGCCGGCGTGGACGACTTGCGGGCGTGCGGCCGAGGACTGGTGCGCCCCGGAGTGGCCGAGAACACAAAGCCAGTAGTGGTGCCGGGAACCGTGGTGTACTCCGTGTCGTAACTGCTGCTGTCCGTCGAGAAGTCCATGCTGCTGCGCGACGGCGTCTCGAACGACATGCTGTGGGGACGCGCGGGAGAGCGAAACGACGACGAGGAGGACGACTGCACTTCCATGTCGTCGAACACGGCACGCTTGTGCACCAGCGGCACCGAGTGTATGTCCGAGCGGCTCATGCCCGAGGGCAGGGTGCGTACGCCCAGCGAGGACGAGGACGCGTTCTGGCTCCTGGTCATGCCGCCTGCGCCGCTGCCACTGCCTCCGGCACTACCTCCGCCGCCACCGGCTGGTGGTGTGTTACAGCGGGGCCGCTGGACTGGCGCTGTCTGCGTCTGAACGCTGGCCTCGTGCCTATCCCACGTCTCGTTGAGGAAATCGGTGAACGCAACCTCTGTAGGAACGTACGTGCACGCAAAGAGAGAAAAAGAGAGAGAATGCAGAAAGCGCTCAATACTGTGATTGCACACGAACAGGAACAACTTGAGCACGACGTATGCCGCTGCTTATAGCTTGCATGTGGCAAATTGCTGCATAATGATTACAACATGCGTGAACATTTAGTTGCAGGTAAATTCTGGCTCCAGTCGTCCACACGAGTACACGGATCCCTGGTGCAAACTTTGACATCATAAGGCTTTGAAATCTTTTTTCCGCAAACCACAGTCAAGTTTATTTTTATAGAAAAAGAAAAAGGCCAAACCTTGAGGTGACAGTTACATGGACTGACGGGGGTTGCCATGGCAAATAATAGGTTTTTTTGTTAATGGCTTTGAAATGACCTATAGCAGTAACTTACCATCGAACTGGAATGAAGGACCAGCGGTCACCGCCTGGGCACTGGAGCTGGACGCCGCTGACTGGTTGCTCTCCGAGAGCAGCGCAAACTCCGGGCTCTCCTCCTCAGTAACCTCCGCTGTGGTGACGGCAACCAGTGCCTTCGGAATGGCCGGCAACTTCCTTAGTAACCGCCTGGTAGGATTGGCGAGAAAGAAAAAAAAGTTAGCCAAATTCGAGTCATCACCACCCTTGAAATGGAAGGTAAACTAGAAGAAGGAGGGGCGGGGGGGGGGGGGGGCAGCCAACTCTGCAAGCTTTGCGTTGTGGAGACGCTGAATACCATTCGCAGATGCAGACCATGTTCTGAATAGAGAAGTTTCACACCTGTGTTTACATCTTTGTCATGTGGCTGCGTTTGTGTAGAAAGTGTACATCACGGCATGTGGACAGTGGAACCAACATGGCCCAGATCATGTGGGCCCATGCTGCTATGCAGGGGCTGAGTGGAGTTGGAACCAACATGGCCGACATCATGTGGGCGCGTACTGCTATGCAGGGGCTGAGTGGAGTTGGAACCAACATGGCCGACATCACGTGGGCCCATACTGCTGTGCAGGGGCTGAGTGGAGTTGGAACCAACATGGCCGACATCATGTGGGCCCATACTGCTGGGCAGGGGTTGAGTGGAGTTGGAACCAAAATGAATGTTCCGTACAGACATAAGATTCGAAACAGCTCTATAGAAGTCGCCGATACACTTTCACTCTCATTTCCTTGTATCACCTATAATACTAATGATACATGCTCATCATTAGACTCGGGTTTATTATATGAGAAGAAAAGAGGACCGTTGTTCAGTGTCGTGCAATGTTTTCGCATGAGCTGATTGTAAAGTAACTGGTGATGTTGCTGGACATTTAATATACACATAACGCATAACTTGTAGCTCTTTGGTCCTCTTTTCTTCTTACATGTTCATCAGGTTGAGAATAGGTAGATGAATGGATAAAACGACATGGCTGCTAGTTCCAGCTTCAAAGTTCTGGTTCAAACGTAATGTAGACACACAACTCCCACGAGACACTCCTAGCGAGGGCTAGTGTTGTGCAGTGGATTTGGGAATGCAATACAGATGTCTAGTAGCTGAGGTTGTGTGTGCCGAGGGGGGGGGGGGGGTGAAATGGAAAATAGCCATGGTCGGGGGAGATACGAGGGCTACGAGATTGATATGAGCAGTTGATCAGTCTCACCTAGCCACGACCAGAGATGCTTTCCTGGCCGCGCTGTGGACAATGAGAATGCCATGCTTCAGGTCCTTGGTGATATGCTCGACACCTGCACAGAAGTACATTGAATCATAGAATGAGTACTCAACCAGGTGGAGTGTGGGGGGGGGGGGGGGTGTGAGCCACGTACTTGTAAGGAGGCAAGGAGATAGGATTGGTGGTGGTTCCCTAATACTCAGCCAACCATAAAGGCCTCGCTGTCATTGCACACCGGATGCAGCAAAGAAAGGTACAGAAAAAAGACAAATGTGTACAGTGCTCCTCAATGCAATCCGATTGCCTGAGTCAAGTTTTCACCCTGCTGCACGTTCACATCCCTGTGTTCACATATCTAGGCCTGCCCAGTGCCTGGCGTGGCATTCACTCGCTCGATCGGACTCCATCGAGCAATGCACTGTACTTACTCATGGACGAGTGCACCTTGACCTGCACCAGACGCATGCTGCGTCCAAAACACATCTCAAAGTAGAGCGTGTCCGTGTAGCCGCTGGTGGACGTGGCTGGCCGCCAGCAGCACTGGTGACGCAGGAACGGGCCGAGAATACGCTCCGCCACGATCTGATCGTTGGCCAGACAGCACAGTGCTATTCTGTAATGAAGAAACGGAGACACAGACGTGATGAACAAGCAGATATGTGCAAAAGAAGACAAGAAATGTCACGGATCCACAGGACCCCCCCCCCCCCCCCCCCCCCCTCTATAGATCAAGGCGCAGATGCAGCTCCTAAGCGGTGGGAGGCGTGTAGATCAGACCCGCCACAAATGGTCAAAGACCGAAAATCCCATTCGCTGCATCCGTACAGCTTTATGTATGTGAGTAACGATGCAGCGCAGCAATGTGGGGGGATTTCCCCTGTGTACATTTAAATCGGTCCTGTCTTGGCTTATGGACAGTCTAGGCTTGCACGTGGATAACGTGTGTCTTCAAACTGAGTGGAGACTAGCAATAGTATTGCATGTGCTCAGGCTGCAAGTCATTGGATACATTTTATCATAAGTCATCAATCATGAACCAATGCTCCCCTTCCCCGCCCAACATCAAACACAATCTTAAACTCTAACCGGTAACATAATGACGTCTTCATGATAACACCAAATTTAGTGCAAACATCAAGCTGGTATACCTCGGGAACGGCTGCTCCGATCAATCTGGGACCTTCACCATTGAAATCAGTGTATTCTTCGCTACAGGTTGTGAAGTTTTCATTTTAGGGTGAACTTCCCCTTTTAAATTAATCGAATCCCCCCCCCCCCCCACACACACACACCATCAACTTTACCAAATGCCCCCACCAAGCCTCCCTCCCCCCCCCCCCCCCCCCCACACACACACACCTTCCCGGGGTAAGAAGGCATAGCCTATGCGCCATCCACACGAAAGGCATATCTCCCAATCATCGGCAGTATTCCGCCGTGAATCACCGGCGGCAGGACAGTATTCCCACACGGACCCTTACTTCAAGTCCGGCTCTGGCGACGGCAGAGAGTAGAGAGAGGTGTGCCGATGCTTGATACCGTTCACCAGGCTACTGACGGCTTCGATGGCCTGCAATGCCGTCACACGCTTGCCATCCTCCTTAGTTCGCCCGGATATCACCGGACATTGTAGTCTGCGTAGAAAACGCGCAATGATACAAATCACCAATCATGTCTCTAATTTCAGAAATTTTAGGTGCTGAATATTTTTGGTATGAGGACAAAAAGGCCAGGTTAGGTGAACAGAAAGTTTAGGTACAGAGAAGCAGTCTCCTATTGGATTATGTGTGTTGGTGTTTTTTCGGTGTATTGAAATTGTAGGTATGAAACGGATGCATCGAAAGTAACGAAATAAAAGTACACCGAAAATTTGTGAAATTACAGTATGCATGGATGCATGTGATGATGTGTGTGTGTTGTTTTGTTTTTGGTTTTTTTTACTAGCAAACACAGCCCTGCTAATTATCAGGGGAAGAGGACGACTGAAATGACACTGGACAACAAGACAAAGGGGAGTAGGGGCGATGTGCCGATGTGGAAGTTGGCGAGGCTCATCCGACCGGAGGTCTCGGAATCGGAATCATAGCCTACGTGTTGCACAGGTATGCAAGGACATATAACCTGGACTGCGTGGCATAGACTTGCTTCACTGGAATTCATTGAGCAGCACCATACTTGGTGCATATCTATTTATGCAGTCGCATGACACTATGTAGGGATTCACTGGCCAGAAAAAGCCACTTCATAGCTGTGTGGTGTAGACCAGGCTGAATAGTGGCGGTCAACTCTTCAGCCTTGCAAGCTGTTGAATGGTGCAATCCCAGCACAAGTTGCTATGGCTTCTGCTGTAGCATCGCTATCATCGCCTCTGGCGATGGGCGTCAATGGTCAATGGTCAATGACACTACGCAGCCATCCCAGCTCTTTCACAACACACAGGTACATACCGATATGCCAAGCGCTGTCCGTTGGCTTCCACCTCCAGGTGGTCAACTTCTGGTTTGTGATGGTCGACGGCATTGACAAGCGCGCACGGCAGTCCGCGGAACGGCACAGGGTCCAGTGCCGACTGCAACGGGGCGTGAAGCATGATACCGTTGAGGACACGCTGGAGATATTCTACTGACTCGGGAGAGGAGAACACTCCGATAATACCTGAGAAACGGGACAAGATCACAAGCATGCACACACACACACACACACGCACGCACACACGCACACACACACACACACACACACACACACAATTATTTCTTGAGACTTTTCCCTTTTCAGTCCCTCAGAGTTATGAACATCCAGTTCGCTATTCGTAATTCCACTTTCTGTGTTGAGGACAATTACCCACCCAGGACAGATATAGGACTTCCATACACGGGACTGGTAGTGGAATGCAGGGCTAACAGAGAGTGCACATTGCGGAGAATCCACAGCATGCACAAAGGTCTCACCTTGCGGAGCAAAGTCATCGTCAATGAACGAATCCGCCGACAACGGTGACGAGTTGATGATCTTGACGGTCAGATCGAAGTGGTTGTCCTCGTGGTGCGATAGGCGTATGCGGCCCGCGGACTTGCAGCCCTGCAACGCGCCGCAAGCAACATGGAGGAAACACAGGACTATCATGTACGTGTTTGTGAGCACAGGCAGAAACTGTAACAGTAGCCAAAGACGAAATTGTACTTGTATGTCAAGGCCCAGTAAAGCACAGTGAAGCGCAGCCTTGCATTAGCAGTGCTTCACAAAAAAGAACCGAGTAACAATGGTAGGGATTTGGGGTGTGGAGATTGAGTCTACACCGTCCAAATACGCACGCCCAGGCTAGCAGCACTAGGTATAGCTTGATTAATAGGAACACTGGGGTCCAACTGAGTACGGGTGTGCCCGTCCATGATGAGTGGCCAGTAAGGTAAGCTCCACTGTACCTCAATCTCCTTGTTGAGTTCATGCGGTAGCTGGTCCATTCCGAGCAGCACCACGTTGATGTGATGATCGTCAGGTGCCAAGAACCACTTGTAGTCGGGCAACATCCACGTTTTCTCACTGCATATCAATACACACACATGCACGCACGCACACCCATGCACACACACACACACACACACACACACGTGCGGGCGTATGCACACACATACACACACACACACCCATGCACACACACACACACACACACACACACACACAGCAGCAGCAGCACCAGCAGCAGCACCACCACCACCACCAACAACAACAACAACAACAACAACAACAACAACAACAACAACAGCAAAGAGTCAAACACATACATTAGTGAGCGAGGCGAATATACTATGGCCTTGAGCTTCACGCTCCAAGCGATTGCTGACAGAGGAACAAGCAAAGAGAAAGGTCCTATTCGGAGTAGAAGGATGTAAAGTAGAAATATAACGGAGAAAGTAGAAACCAGCTTGGAGAAGAACAAGACGGAAACCAATCATGACCGGACTAGACGACATTGCCCCGCTAACCTGTGCAAACGGCCAATGGCGTGACAGACATCGCCGTTGAGATGTGGCCGATGACAAGCGGCCACCGTGTTCCAGAGAACTGTGCTGCGGTCGCTGGGGCACATGTCCAGACGCGTGTACTGTGGCTCATTCTGCACATCAACACACAATGGCAACAGACATGATAGGTCATAGACAGATTTAAGAAAAAAACTATACCAGTTGAGTTCAAAACTGTTGATTCCGTGGGGCTGCCGACGACCTGAATTGGATTTTGATGTTCTCTCTATATGATGGAAGCATGGTCCAGTGCTTAGAGTAAATATTAGTACTTGTACACTTGGGCTTTACGTTAGAGTCATATCATAAAGAATGTTCTACATTTTCACACAGAACAAACCCTCTCTATTATCTCGCATGTGCGTGCAAGGTTCTTGCCAAATGGGTGTGTGAGTGTGTGTGTAGGGGGGGGGGGGGGGGGGGGGCTGTGCCCTCTACTCTGATTGCGCTGCCTCCTCACCTTTTTCGATTTTTGTAGTTTTCAGTTCACAACACAAAAATGCGGCCACAAATCTTTCCGGGTGCACATTGCGCCCGAACGTTACATTGTGTGCGACAAGGCAATAGTGGAAAAGTGGAAAAATGGGTTGCCCTGCCTGCTCACAATACTTCTCCCGGCTATAACCCTGACATAGCACCATGAAGGATGTGCAATGTGGAACAAACGTCATGGTACAGACTCAGTGCTATCACAATTTTTCTCCTGGCTCACCTTGAGCTGGCTTTCAAGGTCCTGAATGTGTTCGTTGGTCGCCTGAGCGTTGGCGGAGGAGAAAGAGTCGAACAGCTCGATGCGCTCCAGTAGCAGTTCGCCGAGCGCATTGCGACACGACTCGCGCAGCTCCTGTTCAAACTTCTCGAAAGTCGGTAAGGCAACGGTTTCCGGCACCTGCTTGTAGCGAGGGTGATTCATGAGAATCTGGTTGCTGGTCGTCCAGTCCATGCCTGCAGCAACACGCCAATCACAATACACAGTACATTACACTCATATCTCTCTCTTATCCGGACCTCCAAGTTACAAGCACCTCGGTCCACCAGGCACAACGTGGGTGAGCTGAAGTGGAAATATTGCTACGTTCTCCATGTTTAGTTGAAATAGTGACGTCATATCCAATATCTCTGACCCTTCCCCATCAAAATGTATGTGATTCAGAGTTAGGAATATTTCCAAATTATCGGTAGTGCATGGTCCGGTCCCAGACTGCCCAGCTAAGAGAGATAAGAGTGCAGTAGGAACTGCATGTAAAGCACTGCTGGCAAACACAACGTCTATTGGTGATTGGATCCTAAAGCAAGGCGTAGAAAGCAGCTGGAAACAATTCAAATGATCAGAATATCAGTACAATCATAAGCCTGATTTCAAACAATTCTGGAATGGCGCCATGTTGGATAAATACAATGATTATGTCTGGTAGCTGAGAGGCATTGAGTAAGCATGACTATGCTGACCTGTCTACATACATCTCCATAGTGATACCCATGTTAATAAGGTGGTAATCTACCACTATTAATACGTATTGAAATGAAGATTGTAAACACGCCCATCAGCAGTCGCACAGTAACAGTCGAGGTACGATTCAAGCGTTTTCTTGCGGCATTCATCATTATAAGGTTGGTCATTTCCACCTGCATGGCAACAGGTTCAAGCAGCTTCCTGCCATACACGCTTCCTGCACAGTTACAGCTGTGAGACCCGTAGCACGCGTTGCATCGTGCAGTCCTGCAGTTCTACATTGCATGGACTTGCTACGCTGTTTGCCAGCCGCAGTACCACCTATACAAGCAGTATCACCTATACAAGCACTATTCAACGACTGTGGTCTACTCTACATCACTGATGCATGGACGTGAATCAAGTGGTCACCATACAGGGGGCTAATCCTACTCACAGAACTCTGCGACACACCCATACTACAGCAAAGTGTAAGCTTGTGTGTAAGCTTGTGTGTAAGCTTGCGTGTAAGCTTGTGTGTAAGCTTGTGTGTAAGCTTGCGTGTAAGCTTGTGTGTAAGCTTGTGTGTAAGCTTGTGTGTAGTATTTTGCCCATACAAGAGGCTGGGGTACACTGTTAACACTTTATGGACTGGAAAAGAGAGGAAAAAAGAAAAGTATAAGCTGCCTTATGACTTTAACATGAGCCAGTGCCAAACCATTGCTAACTCCTACTCTCACGGCGCATACTGTTACCCCCTCCCTCCCTAGGAGTGTGCAGCTCTGATCCAGGCTCTCAGTAAATACTGCCCCCCCCCCCCCTCTCTCTCTCTCTTTCCCTCTCTCTCTCTCTCTCTCTCTCTCTCTCTCTCTCTAACCCCCCCCCCCCCCCTCAGAGGGTGCGGCCCTAATCCATCCCCACTGTACATCAACATAACGGATCCATGCCCTGGCATAATGTCCTGCTGGCAATACAGAGTGACCACACAATGCACAGGAGTACCTTTCTCACCAACCGTGAGTATATAGTTTTGGACTCCGTACATACACAGCTGAGATAGGCCAGCATAGCTGTAGGATAAAGTTTGAGAGGTTTCTTATTGGGGATGACGCCGGACACAACAGAGGTGCATGTTTTGCCCCCCCCCCCCCCCCCCCCCCCGGCTATGTCACAGTATGTGCTCTTGCTCCTACTGATAGTGTGCCTGTGGTGCCTTTGTTGGGTACTCATGCAGATTGATAAGGTACATGACTGTGCTCACTTAATCCCAGCCAGGGAGCAGATGCTGAAAAGTGTGGGGGGGGTTTCCCTGGATTCCTAGCAGGGCACCCGCCCATAGTGGCCACACTGAAAATCAGCAGGCAAAATGGAGAGCTGAAAGAGGAGCACTTGACACAGCCCACATTCCAGGAACGAGGAAGCCCCTCCGGTTTACCTCACGGTGCACTTTGGACATTGGGCACTGGGCAGGCAGGTGCCTTCTGCCACATGTCCTTGGCAAGCAGACTCCATAGGCATAGAACTACAGAGCACAGTCCTGCTCCATGAAATCCAGTCGCATCACTAAAGTACGTGCCAGCGTTGCACAGCCCTAGACCTGCAAACACTGGTATGCGAAATGGTGCAAGGCGCACACTCGAGTGACATGACTGGATTTCATTGAGCAGGACTGTAGTACCAAGATTCTGCCTGTCCAAGTCCAAGCCATACCAAAACCGGGTGCAATTGCAACTCCTACTGACATACATATCCTCACCTTGTGCAATCCACACTACCATAAAGGATCTATAGGGAGAGGAGGATGGGGGGGGGGGGGGGGGGGAGGTCATGACTCATGAGTGCTGTCACATGTCTAGAGCGGATGTCAACCAGCAGGGAGGAACTTTCTCACATGACTGCCATCCACATACCTACATGTGCTTGGGAATCACCATCCCCAGCAGCCAATCCATTCGCAGCATACAAGGAAACAGATAACAGCTACATGCACAGTAGAACCTGTCAAGGCAACCACTCATATTATTATTGCAACCACCTGTTCTAGAGGAGCAGTACGACCAGTCCTGCAATGGCATACCGTAAAGTCTTGTATTAAAGCCGCGGCTTCTATGACTTTCTTGGTGAAAATTTTGCAGGCTTCTATAATGAGACAGGCTTCTATACAAGACAGGTATCTCTATGTATGTCAACACTAAAACCAGGCTTATGTGTGATTTGATGGGCCCAAAATTGCGGCTTCTATTCAAGTGCGGCTTTTATACAAGACTTTACGGTAATTGCGTCATTACACTACTTCTTCCAAACTATGACATACGAGTATCAGCAACACCTCCATAGTGCTCCACACAAGCGTCCACCCATGCAACAGCATGATGCCAGCAGGGCATTTATCCATCAATATATATGTACCACTTTTCCATAGTTGTTCCACTAGTACCACCTCTCAGCCCAATGGATAGTTGATCTTTTCTTGATCTTTCTACACACGTTTAACAGCACTTTGTGTGGCGTTCTAGTCCCATGCGTGTCCTGCAGGTGGTCTCCTAGTGCAACGGTTGCCGAACACCGGCTTCACTGATCTAATTTAAATACGTGTAGGCTGCAAAACAAAACTCCATACCCAGTATGCCTCACACTGACCCGTTCAATACCGCCTACAAGGTATTCACAAAATCAATGCCTGTGTTTGCTTCCGAGCGCGTGGGAATCTCTGCGCGACACACGTCAGGAAGGAAAGGGGAACTGCATTTGCTGCTGTAAGCCAGCCAGCACCGGAGTGTATCAGCTCGATTTATCAACGCATCAATACTACAGTACTGAAGTTGTACGTAGGTCAGTCCACGAACAGTAACTTGGATAGAATACTAGTCGAGTACACAGTGAGGATCCCTGGTAACGACCGTACGATTTGGCAGCCTTGTAGCAGAATATTTCAGATTGGGCGACGTGTACTTCCAAACCAAGCCATGAACGGAGACCACCTCGACTTCGGCCTTTGGGGAATCCATAAATACATCAATAAAACCAAAGCGCAGAGTGCAGCTTGAACGACTCCTTCGACACAGCAGACATACTGGCTATACTAGTGCAAATGCACAGTTCTGGCCGGAGAAATCCAACCTCATGAGTGTTCCAGCGCACAGATCAGTGTGTGTAGTGCTGGGGCTGTGTACCAACCCGGCGCTATTCTATTCACGAGGTTGGATTTCTCCGGCCAGTTACCATACTTCCACACAAACACAATCTGACACATGACACCATTAATTTAGTACAGCTTACATCTCTGCACAGACATAAATATGCACCCAGTCTGGAGGCACCAGCACTCAGTAATACAGTCATCTATTCCACCAATTTCCACCAATGGGCAGTGATAGCACCCAATGGCATACCGGCCCAGGAGTAGCCCATGGGCCTCCCCACATGTGACAGGAGCCACTCGAGGTCGTACGTGGATGGGGATGGCAGTTGCCTCTCCAGAATGAGCAGAGTGGTGAAGATAAAAGTGAGTTTCCACCAGACTGGTGGTTCTAGTAGGTGCTTTGGAGTTGGTGTGACACAATCAGCAACCCTGCACCTGCAAGGTGCACCTATTCATGTGAAGACAAGGAGAGGGAGCTAGTAGCAGGGGGGGGGGGGGGCTCTATCATGAGCTAGTAGTAGGGGGGGGGGGGGGAAGGGGGGGGGAAGGGGGGGGGGGGGGGAAGGGGCTCTACCCTGAACATGTACACTGCAAGTACAACGATTTTACGTTCAGTCTATTTTTACACTGCGTCAGAGTATAAGCAATTCTTATCTTGCGATATCCCTCCCTCCCCGTATTGCATTGCGATCTGGCCCGTGTTATGGAATACAGTACTGCAGTTACCGTATCCCCCCTAGAATGTAAGTAGCACATTGATCATGTGACCATCTAGCCATCTGGCCACCTAGCCCCAACCCACCCCTAGCAGACCACTGTCCCAGGCAGCACTGTCTTGTCAGCTGAATCACCAACACACAGCATAACAGTGGAACTCACTTAGCCTAGCTTAGTACTACTAGTACAGTACTCTCATAACACATAGCAAAGTGTTGGATGAAAACGCCTGTCTCGTATAGAAGCCTGTTTTGAATAGAAGCCTGATATTCAAGATGCACTGTTGGCACATAAGCCTGGTTTTAGTGTTGACATACATAGAAATACTACCTGTCTTGTACAGAAGCCTGTAAAATCCCCCCCCTCCCCCCAAAGTCATATAAGCCGCGGCTTTTATACACGACTTAACGGTACTCTTGCTGAGTACGTACTCTGTTCAGAGCATGTGGTGTGTTGATCCATAGTGATGTGTGTGTGTGTGTGTGTGTGTGTGTTGTTATAAGAAGTATCTCAGCTACTGACTACACTGTCCTGCTATACATGGGGGTGCTTCTTATCAGAGTTCCAGGGTACCACCACTACAGCCTCTGCCACTGCCAATGCCACTGCCCCTATCCAACACTGTTATTAGTGGCAGTAGCCATTGCCACTGCCACTATCCAACACTGTTACTGCCACTGCCACTGCCACTGCCACTATCCAACACTGTTACTACAATTACTAATACCTGCACCATTGCCACTGCCACTGCCAATACCTGCACCATTGCCACTGCCACTATCCAACACTGTTACTGCCAGTAACCTGCACGACTGTAACTGCCAGCAGTACTACTACACGTGTACAACACCAGGCGAATCAGAATCAGATCCAAACTCTTACACTGCCACTGCCACTGCCAGCGCCTCTTTGCACTGCCAGCGCCTCTTGCACTGCCAGCAACACCAGCACCAGCAACAGTGTCAGTGCCACAATCAGTAACAACAGATACAAAAGCACTGGGCCGGAGAAGTTTTTTCTTCTTCTACTCAGATCCAAATACTTACACTACGACTGCGAGTACCACTGCGACAAACACTGCCCTTGCGGCCACTGGCACAAACACTGCCCAGTCCACCACTGGCACACAAATCACAGCCCATTCATTGATGCAGATGACCATGAGTGTGACTCTGCACTCTGGGTGTTCCTGCTGGGAAACCTTCACATGATTGTAAGCAATCAACTCATTGCTCACTTGTACATGCACACATACAGTACAGGTGCAGTGGTTGTAAATCGTAAAACGGCGACAAGGTCAAAACGATAAAACCTTCAATAGTGATCCATGGACAACAGCAATAACATTCCAGACGTCACCTCCACCGGGCCTGGTGAAACGATAGTCCTGGCAAGGAGAAATCAGACCTCAGGAATATAATAGCAGCGCCGAGGGTTACGCGGCCACTAGCACCGCACACACCAACACGACTCTGCGCATTCCGGAGCGGCGCTACTTTATGTTTTCATGAGGTGGGATTTCTCTGCCCAAAATGCTATTACATGTGCTTACAAACACAGTACTAACAAATTAGGGGCGTTCGGATCAGGGGCGTCCGGATCAGGGGCGTCCGGATTAGGGGCGTTCGGATTAGGGGCGTCCGGATTAGGGCGCCCGGATCAGGGGCGTCCGGATTAGAGGAGTCTGGATTAGGGGGGGGGGGGGGGGGGGTCCAGATTAGGGGCGTCCGGATTAGGGGGCGTCCGGATTAGGGGGCGTCCGGATAAGGGGACTTTTACTGTAACTAATATGTAGTATAAAGCTGCTGTGTTCGCCTGGTAATGTAAAAGCCATTATTCTAACGAGCCGCAAGTATAACGATTTCAAAAAACATTGACTGGTTTCCGTGTACCAAAGGTAACGATTCTCACTCATGTTTAACGCTCACTGGCAACAGTATGTATCGATCTCTGTATAACGTTTTCTTTTTAACGACACTGATGTGGAAAGCGAGGAGAATCGCCGGTCGAATGATGAACGGGGGGCCAGCGCCCTCGGTGCGTACAGAACTTTGCGTACAGAACTTTGCATACAGTGCACATGTTGATCGTATGCGTAGTCACGGAAAGCGCCCATTGGCTGCTTGACCTCCGACCGGGATTTCTACTGCTAATACTATGGACATCATGTACACTCTCATTGGGGGGGGGGGTACTACCAGGGGACAGGGGGGGTTACTACCAGGGGTGGGGGGGGGTACTACCTTGGACGTAGCACTACAGTAGCACAGGAAGCATCTAACTCTCCATAACACATCCATGACCAGGTCACAGGACACAAACACTACAGAGTACTAGTAGTAGAGACGCACCTGCACGTAAACATTACTTCCACCCTACAAAACACAGTACACTGCAGTCTGCACACAGGGTACCTACACTGTAGGCAGGGCCCACGCATTTCAGACTCTACACACCAAAACGGCTATCAACACAGTCCAAGTACATGACATTGTACTAGTGGTGGTAGTACTCGCGGACAAGAATCACAGGAACACCGGTCATTTGATATCACCGCATTCCCTTCACCACAAAAGCACAAGAACGCAGAAACTGCGATCAAGACATCCACCGTTATGCCTTATGCGCACTCCACAGTAGCCAGCAGGGGAGCTAAATTTAGCACCGCCGCCTAGCTGTCCTCGTTGATCACAGCCAGAATTCCGTGTAGCGCAAAGATCAAACAGATTGCTTGCAAAATCACCACTAGAAGTAAAGTTAGCTGTTGCTTACCTGGCGAGAGTTTGTTTTGCCATTCATTCAGTAGCGCTCGCAGATGACCGGCTACTTCCTCCTGATCTGCCTTCAGCTGGGCTTTGCGGCGCAGAGAATCGAAGCTATTCTTGGCGAACTCTTCGTTGAGGATGTCAGCCGGGATTCGCACGTCCGTGCTCACCAGATTTTCGTCGTCGTGCCAGTGACAGTCGTCGGGCAACACGACGAAATGGCGCTCGAACTCAGCCATTTCACGCAGTAGCTCCTTGGCCTCTTCCCAACTCGTGCTGCCGCTCTCCACCAGGAAAGACTTTCCACGAGCGTCAGGCGATAGGACTTTGAGCAGCACGTCAGGCAGCAACTGCTGGTAGTGAGTCAGTCGCTCGGCTCGCTTCTCGCTCTGCAAGCGACGCACGAACTGCAGCACTGCGCGTTTGGCCGCCTGGCTTCCGGCGATGGACACGAACTGCTCGAAGTCCTCGTGGCCATTGAGAATCTTCTGAGCCCGATTCCACGTCACTCGGAAGTCACTGACTTTGGCTTCGAGCAAGCGTTGGAACACGCGACGGGCTGCCTCCTTCTCCTCTTGACGGACCCGCGCACCTTCCGCAAAGGTCGGAACTCGGGCGAGAGATCGTGAGCTGCGCTGCGTCTGCAGCTGCTCCAGGAGAAAGAAAGCTGCATCGACGTTTACTCCTTCGCTTGCCGATGTCTGCACGATGTGCACTCCACGTGCGCTTTTGGCCACCGCCGCCTCCAGATCCTCCAGGAGCTTTTCCGATAGCTCGTCACATTTTGTCGCCGCCACTACAATCGGCTTCTTCTGCTTATGCAGAATGGGCAGTAGTTTTGTGAGCAGATTGAGCTGGCTGTCTGCGGCTCTGTACTGCTGTTTGCTCACATCGAACACCACTAGGAATCCATCTACAGCGAATTTCTGGGGCAGATTCTCCACCGGATAGTCGGTCGGGAGCGCCACCTGGTCCTTGTTGATGTACATAAGTTTTCCGGAACTAACCAATTTGGTCGATGCGGCTCGCTTTAGGTAGGTATTCGAACCCGATACGCCGAACGGCTTGAAGCTGCTGTCGTCCTCAAACTCAGTCTGCTCCACGACCTCGAACGTCACTGTGCGCTCGCTGTCGGCTCCGACGCGTTTGTCCACTGGCCCCCAGTAGAGGAAGTGCTGCTGGTTGATCACCAAGCTCATCCAGTCGCTGTTACCAAACTGGCTAATGTGATCCTCCCGGAACTCGTTCTGGCTGGGTCTGACGAAGCGATTGCACAGGCAGCTCTTGCCAACACCTAACTGGCCTTTGTCTTTGCCGGACAGGCCCAGAACACTCACTCGACAGCGCACTGCAGCTTTTGCCCCCGATGATGCCATTGCAAAGCACGCACACGCACAAGCACAACGAAAATTGACACAAAAACTCACTGAATCAAACAACAAGCACTAGCGGAGAGTTGCGCTGTCTCCGTGGCATAGCGATATCTCTCCACTCGCTAAAATTAATGGCCTGCTGTTACTGCAAAGAAATCTCTGTATCTATTACTCTGGCCTAGCTCATCGACTACCAGTCGATGGTAGCATGGGGCAGCGCTGACAATGCCGCCGATCTCAATAAAGTTAGTAGCTGAAGCGTCCTGTTCCTTCCTGGACTCCGTGCTCCGCTCTACATGCGGCCGACAATCATTATTCATACTCCCTGCGCTGGATCAGTGCATGTTCAGCCAGTGTCGTGATGTTTACGTCGTGTAGTGTTCCTGTCTGGCCGGATCGCGGAGCGAACACGCACAAAATACAATGATTTATGTACCAGGGAGTATGTATTTTACTACTCCCTTTTATGTACCATGCATGCAAAGTAAACTGAGCTGAGGAAGTGATTTTCACTGCACTTTTTTTTCGCAAATGGCCATTTTTGCGCATACAGTGATATCCAGCCCGCGGCCCGTTGCATGCATGCACGCAGTGTGTACTGACAAGTGATATGACTGACGTGTTGGATGAGCGCACACATGTACAATCATGTACTGTATGATGTAGCTCTACAAAGACAAACTCTACTGTAGTCGTGGTAGTCTACATGCCGCTGACTCGGCGCTGAGCTTGAATGAACAATCATCCGTCCTTGGTTTGACTCAGTGCTGAGTGACACGATCCCACTTTTGCATTTTTGCTGAGCGGCATGAAGATTATAATCATGATAATCTACATGACGAACGGCATGGGAAGTAAAGACTGTGGACCATGTCAGGCATGTGTGTTGCAGGCACCACTGACTCTGCACCCCGCTTTCCGCGATCTAACTGAAAGTGAAGCGCATTGTTTTAGGTTTGTCCTACATGACTGTATTACTATTATCGATATTATCGTGATCAAGACCACGTCCCGTTGTCGGTCGTCATTATCTAGGGGAAATAAAAGACTATTAAAATGCCCGTAGGTCAAAACGGTGCGGATACATAGAGTCTGAGTCATATGAACAGACAACAACTAGGCCGCTGCGGCGCTGTCGGTGCGCTAGCGCGCTAGTACTCAATGAAATCCGCCTTTTTGAAAATGGCATTACATCAAAATAATAATTAATACATGTACAGTTACTTCCTCTGTGCTGCGCTGATGAGTTCAAAAAGAACGAAACAGCATGCTGTCCGCAGATTGTGTACAGTTACTTCGCTAATAACGACTGCGGATATAACGACAATTCGCTAATAACGACTGCGGATATAACGACAATTCGCGAATAACGACAGGCTTTTCATGCCCAGAGCAAAGTCCATTCTATCTGTGTACATAATACAGGTAATGAGACTTCGGGTATAACGACACTTCACGAATAAGGACACTTTTCTGATGCCCGGCCGAGTGTCGTTATACGCAAAGTTGACTGTACTGTGTACAGACTGTAGCTCTTGATGCTTATTCACTCTTGCCTTGTATGGTCATTCAAAGCAAGAGTGAATAAGCTCCTCTTGTAAGCGACACTGATACACTGTACTGAGTGATAGTACTACTACTACAGTATGTACTAGTACATGTAGAGTACTGGTCGTACTACAGACATATACACCGTCCGGCAACACCTCTTTAGCCTCTTTAGGCTCTTCCCCACCTAACCGTGACATAGTGATACTGTTCAACAGTACCAGGTCCAGGGTGCCTGAAGCGGGCGAGATCAAGGTCCTCGGGATTTTGTTCGATTCCACGCTGCGATTCTCCACTCACATACCGGTAATAGTAGACCTACGCCAGGGCCTCCACTTTCTCCGGAAGGTGGCGCGGCGCCACTCCTGACTAGGGTCCCGCGGATTCTGCCGGCAGAAAAATTGGCAGAATTCGGTACTTTTTTCTGGTAAGTTTCATGCATATTTGGTATGTGGATAAAGAAATAGAGCAGAATTCGAGGAATTGCCCACCATAAGGTTTGTATGGTTCTGCCAATTTCACTGCTCGTCGAGCAGAATCTTTGGTTGGTTGGTTTGGTTGGTTTTTATTTCACTTCGCACATTCAAACGGGATGACGACCCAATAAAATGACGGCGAAGGAATCTGCAACCTTTTCGAGCAGAATCCGCCGGTCTCTACAAGTCGAAATCCTGACAGCCGTGACCTGGGCGTGTGGCCGTGGATGTGTACAAATGGCAGGGTACCATGATGGGTACGACCATTCGACCAACCATGGAGTTCTGCTGCATGGTCTGGATGGGGCTGATACTAGTAGGCCCTGGAGTTTGCGTGCCAAGCCTGCCTGGAGCTGCCTGGAGCTGCCTGGAGCTGCCGGAGCTGCCTGGAGCTGCCTGGAGCTGCCTGGAGCTGCCTGGAGCTGCCTGGAGCTGCCTGGAGCTGCCTGGAGCTGCCTGGAGCTGCCTGGAGCTGCCTGGAGCTGCCTGGAGCTGCCTGGAGCTGCCTGGAGCTGCCTGGAGCTGCCGGAGCTGCCTGGAGCTGCCTGGAGCTGCCTGGAGCTGCCTGGAGCTGCCTGGAGCTGCCTGGAGCTGCCTGGAGCTGCCGGAGCTGCCTGGAGGGTCTGCCTGGAGGGTCTGCCTGGAGCTGTCTGGAGCTGCCTGGAGCTGCGTGGAGCTGCGTGGAGCTGCCTGGAGCTGCCTGGAGCTGCCTGGAGCTGCCTGGAGCTGCCGGAGCTGCCTGGAGCTGCCTGGAGCTGCCTGGACTGAGCTGCCTGGACTGAGTTGCCTGGAGCTGCGTGGAGCATAGGCGCAGGGTGGCGGTCCTGAGCTTCCTGTACAAGCTCTGCTTCCTCCCACCGACGAGCCCCTTGAACGCAATCATGCCCAGACCTCTCGGGGGGGGGGGCATTATTCAAGAGGGGGAGGGGCCATATTTTTTCCTTTTCAAATGGCTCTCTTGAGGTGCTACTGGAGGGGGAGGGAGGGAGGGAGGGGAGGCAGGGAGGGAGGGACGGAGGGACGGAGAGACGGAGGGAGGGAGGGAGGGAGGGAGGGAGGGAGGGAGGGAGGGAGGGAGGGAGGGAGGGAGGGAGGGAGGGAGAGAGAGAGAGAGAGAGAGAGTTACAATGTCATGTAGGTATGGTATTTCCTCCTACATGTACAGTACATGTTTGCTCTGCACAAGACACAACACCGCATGCAGTGTACGATGTACATACAGTCATGGTAGTCAGTATGCCGTGTGATGAAACTCACTGTCACAGCGGATGAGCGGAAACGCTTTGTTTCCTTCTTTCATAACAATAGTTCAAGTACATGTACACGTACATCATACATGTACGTGACTGTATCAGTGTATGCCGCTACATGTACATGAGTAACATGACATCATGGATAGATCTACATTGTCATGTACTTGTGTGACGTAACTGACGTTGTGTCATGCACTGAATCTGTATGTTGTCATGTGTAGTAGTATTGTTTCGGTTTGGGGGTAAGACATGGGGAAGTTAGGGTCCTACTACTGCTAGCAAGAGTTCATAACCCCCAAGAGTGTGCAACTCCTGATCAGTCACTGTATGGAAGCCCGCTCGGCGGAATTCCTTCATTGCGTCATTTTTGGTGCAGTGCGATGAGTCATGCCGATGAATTCTTCTAAAATTTACAGTCAAACCAGGATGCTTCCCCAGGGTAAACTGCCTAAACTGCGATTCTAGTCTGAGTCTGAGCCTCAACGACAAGAAGCAAGGCAAAAGTAAAACGAAGCATACGATCCTGATCCTAAAGACAAAACTATCTATTTTTTCGATGCAATGGTGACTCTTCGGCTTCATCGCCTTCTTCTTTCAGTTTCACCAGTGCAGTCAGTCTCTTCAAGAAAAATTTCTTCCCCAGGCCATCGGCATATTTCCGGTGCTTTCCTCGAAGATGATTTCAAATGGTTGAGGAACTTGAGAGACTGATGATACGTCGAAGGAGCATTTTTCGGCTGAGTTGCACAGCTATCAGAATGATTGTCCTCGACGGCAATGCAATATTTTTAACAGCGTCCTCACTTCTTCCTGTCGCGTTGTCCATGGATTCTTGGAGAAAGAGTTTGTTTTTGAGAAAGTACGACTTGGACGTAGATCTACGTCCGAAATGTCTTCAAAAAAAAAGCTTCGAAAAGTCGAGGCTACGGCCTTGAGTTAGGAGCGGTTCATCAGGGTATAGTTTCCAGAAATCGCAAAGAACCCGAATTTACCTCGGATGACAAGCTGCGCATGACGTAATGTAGGAATTTCGCCGAGCGCTGGGTCTATGCCCGTTGCACACTCTTGGGGGTTATGAACTCTTGCTGCTAGTATTATGTGCAACTCCAGCCGGCCGGCTAGTCCCATACCAGCTGGAGCGAGCGGGCCAGAAGGCCCAGGGTGTCGAAATGTGCACGGCGGGCTGGTCGCCAGCCCGTTGCGAGTTTACGATGTCATGTACGTGTACATGTACATGTACATCATTACAACTTATTGGGGGTTTTGTAAAATTGTAGCTCTGACTGACTGCTTCGACTGCTCTGCGCTGTCTGATTTGCTGTACGAGTTGATTTGGCTTTTTTTAAACATGTTTGTAAAATGACGTTTTTTCAGTCACTTCTAGACAAGCTACATCCAAATGAATTTGTTGCAAGTGGAAGTGCTATCCTTCATGCCCGTTGTGTCCAAAAATGGTAATGATCCCACTTTGAAAAGTGTCTTGAATCATGTCCTACTTTCATAGTATTCTCAGGATCCAATTCAGTGTGTCATTAAATTATTTGTAAAATGGCATCACAAACTGGGATATTCGGTCATCAATGTTCTGAAGTTGATAGACATCACTTCAAGGATTGCTAGTGGATGAAAATCGACCGTCTACAGGTCCTGCAGAACAGTGGGGCTCGTGCTGTCTTTGGCCGCCCTCCGTGGTCGTCTGCCCGCGACCTGCTGGAGCGCATGGCAGTGTTCTGTGTGGCAGAAATCTTCAATCAGAAGCTAGCATACCTGGTGTGGCGCTGTCGTTATGGACTGGCAAGTCCAGAGTTGCAAGCCCTGCTAACCCCCGCTGCACCTGGCCCTACTCGGCTCCAATCTGCCATGGGCCTGTGCGTGCCAGTTTCCCATTCGGCTGCGGGGCGGGGGCGCTTTGCTTGCAAGGGTGCTGTATTATTAAGGAATGCCCAGTTGTAGTCTTCGGGGTGCTGAGTCGAATGGTCTTGGTCCGAGGAAGCTGAGACGCTCCCTTCCTCCTTTATTCCCAATCGAACTCGCGCACCTCCACCGAAACTGGGTGACTGCGCCCTACTAGATGGGGATTTGTATGCAAAATGTCACTAAAAGCGCCATTTCGTTCTTATAAAAGCACGGATGACCG